CGGTGGGATGGGGGGGCGAGGGTTGAGCCCCAAAGCAGGGACGGGGCCATGGGGCTCCTGCGCGCAGAGGGAGCGCTTAGAGCCCGACTTCACACAGCGGCAACGGGATGTGCTGGGACCAGGGGGCTCTAGCCGCAGTGCAGTGCTTTGCTCCTGTGCCTGGCACGGACGGTGTATGTGGATTTTTGGAAGGTGCATGTGGCTCTGTGGTGCTGCAGCTCTCCCCGTGTCCCCTGCACAGTGCCAGGGGTGACAGCTCTGTCAGGGTCTGCACTTGTCACCCCCGTCACAGCATCCCAGACTGGTGGGGGCTGGAAGGGCCCTCTGGAGCTCCCCCATCCCACCCCCGCCAGAGCAGGGGCACCTCCAGCAGTGGCACAGGACGGCGTCCAGGCGGGTTTGGGATGGCTCCAGAGGGGGAGACTCCCCCACCTCTCTGGGCAGCCTGTGCCCCTGCTCTGCCGCCCTCACAGCAGAGAAGGCCCTCCTCAGGTGGAGATGGAACTGCCCATGGTCACCTTTGTGCCCGTTCCCTCTTGCCCTGCTGGTGGCATGGCTGTGGTGGACTTCATCAGTATGGCACCGCTGCGGTGGCTTTTGTGTGGTGGCACAGGCAGGAACAGCCACGTGGGTGCAAACCCACGGGCATCCGAGCTGACCCCGGCACAGACCCTGTGCCGACCCCGGGACTGCGTGCGTGGGCTCTGTGCCGATCCCAGTGCCACGTGGTCCCCGGTGGGTTTGTGCCCTGGCCCAGCCCCAGCCCTGCTGCCCCAGCGTCCCCACTGCTGACCTCACGGCCGGTCCCGCTGCATCCCTGATGCCCGTTTCCCCTCGCAGCAGGAGATGCAGGCTGTGGACCAGCGCCTGGCGCAGCAGCTGATGCGCCTGCGGGCGCAGCTGCACCGGCTGAAGGTGGAGCAGGCCTGCCACCAGCACAAGGAGATGCTGGACGACGCGACCTTCGGCCTCGAGGGCTGCGAGGAAGACTCGGACCTGCTCTGCAACATCCCACCCAAAGCCGCCTTCCTGCTCTCCATGCCGCTCAAGCACATCGGCGTCACCCGCATGAACATCAACTCCCGACGGTTCTCCCTCTGCTGAGCCTGGCGGGACCCTGCGGGCACCCATGGGTGCATCTGGACCTAGTAGGGCTCAAGGATCCCTCCCAAAATGCCTCGGGGACTGCAGAGCTGGTGGGGGGCTGAGCTCCCTCGGGACAGGCAGCGCTGAGCCCTGGTGTTGCCAGCCCTGCCCCGGTGGCATGGCAAATGCCACCATCCCCATCGGGCACAGGGTGTTTTGGGGTACCCGGTGCCCTCTCCCTAAGGATGGTGGGGTCAATCACAGTGGAAAAGGTAGGGAGCAGCCCTTTGAGGAGGAATAAAAGGAGGTGAAGGTGAGAGCTGACATGTTTTTCCTTTTTTTGCATGCACCCGGGCCCCTGCCGGTGCCTCCAGATGTGGCTGTCGGCCCTTCGCTGTGGGGGACAATGGGGGTGGCAGGAGGGATGATGCTGCCATCGTCCCTTCCCAGACTGCTCCCCGGGGCTCTGGCGCACGGGGTGGGCGGCTTCTCACCCGTTTCTGCCGCAGGACGGTGCTGTGCCGGGGAGACGGCGTCTCTGCTTTGAGGACCTCACTGCCAGCCTCTCCCCGGGCGTCCCTGGGTGGGTGACCGGGCTACGCCGCGTCAGGCAAAATAAGTACAGATGAACGGGGGTGTGCAGTTGTGGGGGGGTGTTGTTTTTGAGGCTGAGAGGTGTCGGGGCCGTGCTCAGGGTTTGGCACCCCCCTGCTCCCGTCCTGCCCCATCTCCTGACTCCCTGCAGCACAGCGCCGGGTGCAGGAGGGACCCCAGGGGTAGTGCCAGCGGGGGCTGCCAAATCCACCCTCCCCAGAAGGGGTTTGCTTTTTGGCTTTTCCCCTTCCCCCGTTAACACCAAACCCTTTACAAAAGAAGTTGCCACTTGGGGATGTGACTTTCACAGAATGTTTTTTGCAAGTGGTGCCGGGGAAGATGCGGGGTGACCTGGGGAAGATGCGGGGTGACCTGGGGAAGATGTGGAGTGACCCAGGGATAATTTGGGTGGCTGCTTCTCCTTCCCAGGGTAGCAGGAGGACACAGGGGGGGAAAAACCCAATGTGCACGCCGAGGCTGCGGCACACCCCAGGGCCTGGTAGCGCCCCCCACCTCCTTGCCTGGGGCACCCGTGGCGTTGGCAAACGCGATGGGAAGGGGGCTGCGTGGCTGCCCCTGGGAAACGTCCCAACCAGGGTGGATGCTGTGCTAGGTGCTACCGCCGTGGTGCGCCCCCCCACCAGCTGCCGGCAGCCCCCCCGGTGCAGCCGGGCTTCCTGCCCATGCCCCCACGACCC